TCATTTTATTTTGCATTTTTTTGGGAGTATTTCTCATATTGGGCAAAAATCACGTGCTTACAAGAATCACTACCGGGGCTTCAATAGACTCGATAAGGGGAATAGAACGGCGGGGGGATGCTTCTTCTTCATCATCATCAGAAATGATGCGTCTTCGAGCCCGTGGCCTTGTTATCAAAGAGCCCCCGTCTTCCTCTTCTTCAGAGCCTTGGTCATTAACGACTTTTCTTTTCGATGAAGAACCCAAGATTATTTCTTAGGTTCTTTCCAAAGAGATACGAGAAGCCGTGACCACCTCGGCAGTAACTCATCGAATAGCAAATCCTGATAGAAAGAAGGATTGAAATTAGTTCAGAGAAATAAAAAAATATATGTAAGATAAAAGCTCTTACCATGAGTTTTTTCTTTCCAACCAAATCGTTGAGAATGGTTTTCCAAGATTTACCATCCATTGGCGCAATCTTCAATAGCTTGTCTACCCAATCACGGAAATTGGGAACATCATCTACAACTCCCATAATTGCTGAAAAAGAAAGGCAAAATTAGAAAAATCAACAAAATTGAAGAAAAAGGTACGAGAAAGTTAGAAGACTCACGTGCAAAATTCCACTTCTCAGGGAAGGGAACGTTCTCATTACCCACTAAACCAACAGTGAGGGTAGCAACAAACCTGGCATACCAGCCACGGTCTTTGTCATCTTTAGGGCTAACTAGAACTCTTTTGCTCCCGGCTACTAGTGTAAAAATACCATTGCGAAAGAGTCTAGGGAAGTAAAGGTGAATTAGATGCGGGAAAGTAAAAGACACACTGACTGTGTTAGTCAAATGCCTCAAACAGGCGACAACCCTCCATATTATTGGGCCAATTTTACCCAAGCAAACATCAAAGAAATGGTAGAACTCGAGAATAATAGGATCAATAGCAAGTTTGAATCCTAAAGTGAAAGGGTATGTATAGACAAATGAAAATCCGGTTAAGTAGGAGGTAATTCTTTGATTCGGATTGGGAATAATGATAGGAAAGTCATGATCCCAATAGCAGTCTCTACGAACTAAAGAAATCAAACCTTCAGTAATTTGAGTGGGATAGATATCAGTACAGTCTAAAGAAGATACTTGATTTCTAAGAGATTCTCTGTCATTGAAAAAGGATAATTCTGCAGGAACTATTTCTTCTACTAAAGGTTCACGAAGAGGTTCAGAAGGTTCTTTACCCCTAGAAGAAGATCTTTATGAAAGAGAACCCGTAGTTCTAGAAGAGGGGCCAGAACTAGGCGAAGGAAGAGAAGAACCACGCAAGGATGAAGATCCCAAATTACGAAGCCTACCTCATCTTCTGCTCATACTGGGGACATCATGGAAGTTATCATCTATGGGGACCCTTCTAGGGTTAGGGTTTGATGAAGACATGATGATACGATGAAGAAGCAAAAAGAGATTTGAGAAAATGGGATGTTCAGAAAACTTTATGTGGTAAAGACAAAGAAGGAAGTTATATTTATACTGATAAACAACCGCCAAAGGAAAATGTACAATGATGGAAGGACCATAATAATGATAATTGACACTTCGTGAATAGTGAAGCCGTGAAAAAGCCTTAAAAAGATCTGCAAAACTGCAGAACTAATGAAAAGATGACACGTGTGAAGAGTATTAAATGGAAGTGACAATTAAAGCATCGATTCTGTCATAGCATTAATGGTGACAAAAACTCTCATTTTTAATGAAATCCACTTCCCAAATATTCAATCGATGAATAAATGGCAAGTGGGGGACTATCTGTATTGGAAAAATTGAGTTTACATATTAAAGTGGTGTAAAGATGACGTGTCATGACACATAGACTGGTCAAAAAGTTACAACTGGCAAAGAGGCACGAGTTGCAACAGATACGAGCAAAGGCAAAGGAAGAGGCACGAGCGGTTATGTAAAAGACTCAGCGCTCGTGCTTATTTAAATCCAAGAATTAAGGGGAATGAATCTGGCATTACATGAGAGTATAGATACAGTATTTATCGAGCCTTAAATACTAAAAACGTTAGAGAATCTGTATTAAATGCACTAATTATGTAACGTAGCATTTAATGTCTTTAATTGTCCATAATGGTCTTATTATGACAAAGGCAAAACGCATATCCCCAAAATAACTATAAAAGGGGGAGAGTGGGTCAATTGTAAGACACACGAAAAACTATCTGAATATACTGGTTTACTTGTGTTTCTTCTGATTAGATCATTGCTAGTAAAATTACTCTCTTTCATATATACTTTTGACTATCAGTAACCCGAGTTCTTCTAAACTTAAAGTTTTGACCGAAATCTCATTTTTTGGTTAAACAATTATATATTGCCACTGTAACCGATGTTATAGTCATATTCGTCATGCAATAGAAAAACATTTTTTTTTCTAGGAAAAAATCAAGTTAGTCTATATGCACTTCTAAAACCAACTGTGAAAATATATAAGATGCTAAATCGTTATAAAAGCGGCAAAAGAGTTGATGAGGGAACATTATGAATTGAAAATAACAAGACCGATTTAAATTTTAAAGCTAATTGAACATAGTAATAGTTAGGAGATTTAAATAATTAAGAAACATAGGAAAAAACAAATATCTAAACATAATAGTATAATCTATGTGCAAGAATGTACAAATTTTCATGCAAAAATATTATGTTTATCTCTTAAAAATTAACACTGATGATGTATTTAGAGTATATTTCATCCTCAGTCAGGATTCAAAAGAATCAACTCGATCCTCAATTATATATGAAAGTACAATCCATTTCTGAGTTTTTGCTGATGCAAAATCAATCTTGAGATAGTATGGTTCAGAGTTCAGATTCCCATTTTGTTACCAATGACTCGTAAGGAATGTGCATTGGTCGGGTTGATTCGGGTTTTTTAAATATCAAACCAAACCAATTGTGTCGAATTATTAAATCTATAGACTAAATCAAACCAACAAAAGTTGGCCTTTTCAATCTCAAGTTTTTCGATTTTCTCGTTTTTTGGGGGGATTTTCCCGATAAAATCTTCATAGTCCAAAACATATAACTTGTGCTCCAAATATTTCTTTGGTCCTTGGAGGATACAACTATACAAGGTGTTACTCAAGAAAATAACACAAAATAATGTAGATGAGTCATGATATTGTACTAAAAATATTCAACAATAAAAAATAATAAAATCCTATAGAACAAATTTTGCTAATTAATAAGTCATAATAAACTGAACATAATCTAAAAGTAGTAAGTCATGCTAAATTAAATACGACTAACAAGTTCTAAATATTAATTACATAACTAAACAATAAAAAAATAAAGAAGTCGCGCAATTTTAGTGTCTAAACAAATGCAAAACTAAAAAATAGATATCAACACTTATCATTCCTAATATTGAGTGGAATTTCTTTTGTTAGTATTATATTGACTTAGTTTTGCTTCGGACTTTATTTGAGTTACTAATACTAATAGATTATAAAATGGACCATTTAAAAATTCGAAGTCCAAGCATGAAATAATACGTTAAAAAGGAGAACTATGAAAAAGTTTTAAAAATATTTATAAATTACATTATAATATAAAATTTTATTTATAAAATATTTTAAAACTTGTATACATGTAATTTTCGGGTTGATTTGGTTTCGGTTTGATTTTTTTTAGTTAAAACCAAATCAAACCAATTATGGTCAAGTTATTTTTGGGGTATTATCACTTTTAGCCGGGCCAAAAATTATTTACATCTGGTAGCCGAAAAAGTGTATACAATTTGTATACTAATATTTATATATAACATACAAAATGTATATATATACAAAAAATATACAAATTTTTTACATTTTTTCGGCTATTATTTTTACCTGTACAATATCATTTTTACTTATTTTTTCCAACACCAAACCAAATCATAATCGGATTTTTTTCTGATATGACTCGGATTATCGATTTGACGGGGTTTATCCGTATCTTCTGTATTCCTCCTATCTATTGGGAATAGTCAGAGACAAATATAACAATCTGCAGTCCTGGGAAGGGCTAATAGTCCATCCAAAACGATGAGTTATGCTAACGGCTAATGGCAAATTATTCAATGGACGACCCACACGTAATATATTTTTTCAGGCACCAAACTGTCGGTGAACCTCACTAAACGCCTAGTTCTAGCAATAGTCCAAACCAACGTCTAGTTTTGCCATCCAAATATATGGAGACGTATTCTCTTATTCCATCCTATTAAGTGTTGCGACTTTCATGGATTTTCTGACACCTACTGGAAAAACAATGGAAGCAGTTTGGAATGTAGAAGACAAATGGAGAATATCAACCCAAGGAGCTGTTGCAGTATTGGTAATGTGCACCTGTTCCTTAGTTATTGGAACCTGCATTATTGCTGCTTTCAGGAGAAATATTGCAAGAAAGAGACCAGAAGATGAAGAACGGTGCATGGATGACTCAACAAACATAGACTGTTCGGAGCCACGTGAAGAGTTGGGTTCGGTGAAGGAGGCGCTAACGAGCACTGTACGGTGGAGCCAGAAAGAGAAGCTTCCACCATTGCTCGTTAGTCCAGGTCAGCTTGAAGTTGATTTTGGGATGCAGCAGAGTCACGGTTCAAATTCACCTATGTGGCAAAGGCCTATACTAATGGGTGAAAAGTGTGAGCTACCAAAGTTCAGTGGACTTATCCTCTATGATGAGAGAGGCCGGGCCACTTCGCCAGGCCGATAATGGATTCAACTATCATCAGGTAAACATAAAATGATTAAAGGCAACACATCAGAAAAACAACTAATACTAGTGATCCTGAAGCATTTGCATTTTCTCATATATTTCAGTTTCCATTGCTAGCTTTGAAAGCATACATATAAGTAGTGGCGGAGCCAGGAACTTTAACAAGAGGCTTCAAACAAATGCAAACACACACACACAGAGTAATACACTTAGCAATCTCGGGATTTTCATTCAACAGCTTCTTTAGAACTGAGTAATACACCGAGTCTAGTCTATTATTAATGAGAGTTAGTAAAATAGATAATATACCAGCTTCGTTAGCACTATGTCTAGTGTAGAACAAAGAATGTACAAATTCAATCGCAATTATATGCGCTACCAACAATTACTTTGTTTTGAAGTAATTCTACATCTTCATTCCATCCATATCAGAAGAATGAGTTTGAAAAGGAAAACAGGAACAAGATAAAGAAAACGTGCATTGTGGATCCACACAAAGTTCTCCTGTTTCAATTTAGCAGAATATATGCAGAAAACAGATACTATTCAGGAACCAGGTGTAGTCGAAGGCGTCCAATGACTAGGAAACTGCAGTCAGCTTGCGCTTGGCTTCCCACCATTCTCCATACAATCCGGCGAGCACTTATTCTCACCTAGGACAGACAAAATAAAGGGATTTGCACAAATTAAAAGTATACTCCTTATTTAAGAGCTTGAGAAAGAGAGATATATGTTCACAAAATGCACATTTGGAGATGATTAGTAATAGAATCTTCTGGATAAAACAGATGCTAAAGGGATCGAGCATTTACCTTTCTGCGTAGGTGAACGGATAAGACACCACTTTCTTTTTAATATGTAGTTCACGAATCATGAATAAGACACTACTAAGTGTTCAGTAGAGTCTCCCGTTGAAGAATTTTTGTAATATGCATATAAAAGCAATTGTACGACTCCTAAAAGTGTTCCAATGCCATTTGGCACCTGAAATTCAAGTAGAGCCAGTTCGTAAGACAGGCAAGAGAAATAGGGTAAGACATTTGCATTTTTTATAAAAATAATTGAGTCTATCTTGCCCTAATATACTAGGGGAAGCAGGTTGGCATCCCTCTTTTTCTTTAACCCCCGGTATAATGTAAGAGGAGAAAGAAACTCACATATATAAACAGATCAAAACTGAAAGTTCCATACAAAAAGAAAGAGGCACTCATTAGGAAGGTGGAGAGGGACAGGTAAAATGGCATGAATTCGACGCTCCTGGTCCTGATCACCAGATTCTGGAAGACGAGTTAGTCAGTGAATCGGCAGAAAAGCATTAGAGAATAAGAACTTGATAGAAATATTCGTAGAGAATCCGAATGTCAACTATCAGACATACAATAATAAACAGTGGGGAGGCAAACATTGATATGAGGGAAGCACAACTCAGGGAGCCAATAATGATGCGCCGGAGTTGAAGGTCAAGTATAAGCAAGCTTCCAATTACAATAATTGCAAATAGGCCAAAGACTGTGAGTATGCATCCCAGCATCCTGAACTACAAACAACATTGATGGGCATACAATTTAAAAGGTTACTTAATGAACAAGTGGAACATCTGAAAATTTGTGGAACTGCTTTAAATCAAAATACAAAAGAGGATTATTAACCTTTTTCTCTTTCTCTGTATGCATTACAAAAAGTACAATGTAGGCAAGTTGAAAAACAGCACCAACTGAATTGACTGTTGTTACCAACAAATTGTCAGGAGATACAAGAGGTGTGCCGTACCAAGCACAGATCAAGCAGTTCAAGAGCCCATATATGTATGGCAACCCCGAGAACTGTTCGGTTGATTGATTTCTCATTATTCTCCTGAATGTAGGTCTGAGAGTAAAGATAAAATGTAACAGATTATGGGAAAGAAGTTGTTCAATATTATGGAAGTGCGGTAAAGCAAAACGAACTATGCAAAGCTTAAAACTTACATTGGAGACAGGAACAACCCAAAAGCAAAGATGTTCCCTGCAACGAGCAGCCAAGATGGTTAATTTTTCTCTTGAGTCACTACAAAGCTCAAGAATAATTTTGCTAACCTCATTTAGCAAAAAAGGGAAAAATTACGCAACTAAAGAATGACCTAAGAAATAAAGGGTATTATCTCACTGTTCCTTTACAATCTATATCATTTTAAGGCAGAGCATAGGACTCCAATGTGTTTGAGCAATTTTGTTTTTAACATGAAAAACACTTCATCAAGAGTTTAATCTGAACAAGTTTTAGCTCAAATGGAGCTTCTAAAATTGCTCTAGGCCTAAAAGTTGGACACTATTTGAGGTCTACAACTGTTTGCCCAACTATCAAATTAAGTTATGCTAGTTCTATACATGGGTGGATTTATAAGCTAATTTATGGGGTAAGTGAACCATGGACTCTCCACCAAACTAGATATTTCATGTATGTATTTTTCTGGAATTAGTCAATTATTTTCTGATGGCACCCATGCTCCACAAAAGCTGAATGGTGCACTTGGTTAAATAATGAGTTATTTACCCAAAACATAACTATATTGAATTCAGAACGTAACTATATAAAATTCAGAAAGTAAGTATGCCCTTCAATCTTCATTAGCAGAGTTAAAAATAGTTGTTTGCTTAGCTAGCTTAATTTATTTTCCAGAAAGTAAGATCATTTTGTCAAAGAAGAAAACTAGTTCCATTGATAAAATTCAGGACTGTCTTCTAATTGCACGAAGATGTTTGCAGAAACCCACAAAAAAATACAAGCCCAAATCTATATGAAAAAAGGAGTGTAATACAGAGAGAAACTGAGGTGTACCGGCGATTCCAGCTGCATCTTTACAAATTTCCAGAGTTTGAGACGAAGCCAAAGGAACCATCAAATTTTGACACCCCAAACACTTTAATCTTTAAACTCCAAGAAGAAAAGGCCAACGACTTGTTTTCTTCTGTAACGCTGTACTTTAAAGCTTAGATGTTAAAGAACCCACTTGCATTAAAATTTCTTGACAAACATTAATTGACTATTTGGTCAAGCTTAAAAATCAGCTTTTAAAAAAAAAAAAAATTAAAATAGAGCAACAATTATTATTTGGCTAAATTTTTAAAAAGTACTTCTAAATATATTTTCTTAAAAGTATTTTTCAAAAAAACATTTTTCAAAAAAAAAACTACTTTTTCTACTTATCAAAAACTATTTCTATTTCTACTCAAAAATTCTTTTTTTCCCCTCTAAAAGCTTATAAAAATGTCTTTAACTTTGGGCAAAAAGCAGTTTTAGCCCAAAAAAATATTTTTGACTGAAAAGAAACTTGATCAATCATGCTATAAATGCTAAAAATATTTTGAAGTATTTGAAATTAATAACAAGGAATTGATGTGTTCAATATAAAATTATGAATAAACACAATTTTCATTAAAATCATTGAACTAATCCTAAAATTATTTAAAGAAGAAACTTAATATAAGTTTCATATTTTCTTTACACGAGAAAAGACTAATGGTAGAAATGTAATAGAGAGATTAGCGATCCATCGCGTAAATTTTTCTATACTATAACTATAACTACTAGTATTAGTACCCGCGCGGACACTAACCATGTCAAATATTTGAGTTATTTGGATTATATGTAAATAATCTTAAATTTTAAACCTTCTCGACAAATATAGATAATCATTGAATATTAATTAAGAAACACTACATGAAAAAAATTAATCATTTCTCAAATCTCCTAGTTATAATTATACATTTCTTTTTTGGTACAATTCTCGCCGGTGTCATTGGATCCTAAAAATAGTCAGGAAGTAAAATAATAATTCATATTTATGGCAAAACAATTAAAGGTTGAGACTATGAAGGGCTCTTTGGATACGACTTGACTCTTTTACTACTACTTGAACTCTTATTTGGTGTGTTGATATCTTACAAAAAATATTTCGATTTTAAAATTTCAGTTTCTAAAACTTTATTTTTCAATAATAATTATTTTTATAATAATATAAGTGAAAATATTATCCTTAATTCAAAACTCATTTTAGTCGGCTATCTAAAAATTTTAAAAAAATCTTCAGCCAGTGATTTTTTTTTTCACAGTATGACTCCATTTTGATTTTTGATATTAACCATATTAGATATCTGAGTTATTTGAATTATATGTAAATAACCTTAAAATTTAAACCGTCTAGATAATTATAGATAATCATTAGATATTAAGAAACACTACACGAAAAACAGCTAATATTTTCTCAATTCTCGTAGTGATAATTTTATTCTTGCACCATTTTCATTGGTGTCATTGGGACCTAAAAATAGCCATAAAGCGAAATAATAACTCGTATTTATGGCAAAGCACAAAAGTTGACACAATAAGAATGATTCTTTGGGTGACTTTTTTACTACGACTTGAACTCTTATTTGGTAATGTTATTATCTTTCAAAAAATATTTCTATTTTGAAATTTTAATTTCTAAAACTTTATATATATATATATATAT